CGCTTTCGGTCTCTCTGTCTCTCTCTGTCTGGTGAGCGCACACGCCCTATAGCAAAAACCTCTCCAAAACAAACAAACAAACAAACAAACAAACTCCTGCCAGGCACAAGTGTATGTGTGCGTGCCCAAAATTCTAAAAGAATGGAGGAGAACGGACTGTGGTGTATCCATCCCTCCCCCCGCGGGGGGGCAGTGATTTCTCACTTTCTATCTCTCTGGTGAGTGCATGTACGCCACAGCAAAAATCTCTCTCAAAAAAAGAAAACTATCAAAACCACAATAATTCACTTTAAAACATGTCTATGGGCATAATGGGGCAGAAATAGAGTGGAGAGGCAAGGATATCTCTTTCTGTTTTTTTCCTAATATTTATTATTATTATTATTATTAGGTTGTTGAGAAAGTCATGATGCATTTTTGCATAAGAAAACATAGAAAAATACGTCATGACTTTCCTGACAACCTGATAGATAAAACACTTCAAATACTGAAAAGCTTTCATCTTATGTTGTTCTCATCAGTATAACCTCCCTTTTCTCTTCTCTGATGGCCTTGGAAAACCAAAAATTGAACCATTTACACAGCATTAAGATGCCAGGAAGTAGAAAGCTTTTCCCAACTGACTCTCAGATAGCTGTTGATTATACCCACAGGACAATGAGCCTCCCCAGCTCCTATTAGAAAATGAAATATTGTAGGGACCAGCAGTTAGCATAATGGCTATGTCGCTGGACTCCCATGTAGTTGATCGCGGTTCAAGTCCCGGACTCGGTGGCTTAAAACTCACGCCGGGCGTGTGTGCATGCGTGCCCAAGATCCCGAGAGGAGAATGGGGGAGAAGGGATTGCAGCGTGACCATCCCCCCTGGGGGGTGATTTCTCACTTTCTGTCTCTCTGTCTCTCTCTGTCTGTCTGGCGAGTGTAGGCGCCCTATGGCAAAAACCTCTCCAAAAAAGAAAATGAAATATTGTAAATATGAGATTTTACTGGATTCGTGGGTCAGAACTAGAAAGGAAATTAGAAATCTGCTAGTGAAGAGTCACATTTTGGAGATAAGGAAAATGAAGCCAAGAGAAGTTAAAGTGATGGCCCAGCTGTGGCAGCACAGGCAGTGAGGCACCACTGCATGATGTTTCAAAGCCATATGAGAGTCCTAGGCTCAAACACCAGGTCCACCTGAACATACTGCATGTCTGTGATCCTGGCTGGGAGTGGGAGGGATGTCAGTTATCACTTGTTACATATATCAGTGGGTTTGCATCCAGCAGTCCTCACTCTTACTCCCACAGCTACTATTGCCAACATGAGTTGAGACATCAACTATATACGATCTTTAGAACTATGACAAAGATGAGAGTAAAACAGGTTGTAAGCAAGGAACTAGAAAATTTAGTTTGGGAACCTTGTGATATTTACTTTTGCTGCTATGCAATGGAATGTCAATATCACCAAATACAGCATTCTGTAAGAAAGTAGCATGCTAGCAAGATACCCTTTACAGAGGAAAAACAAAAAGTGAATTCTGGGAGTATTTCCTTTTTCTTTCTTTTTTTTTTTTTTTTTTTTCATATTAGGAAGGCATGCATTCCTGATCACCTGGAAGGTTTTTGGTTTTTAATTAATAAACTTAATTTTTTTAGAGCAGTTTTAGATTCATAGCAATATTGAGAAGAAAACACAGCATTATCAAACATGAGAGAGCTTCAAAAAGTTTGTGTAAAAAAGGCATTAAAGTATAAGTTTATTTTGGTGCAAAAATGATTTGAAATACATTCACACATTTTTTTTCATAATATGCAGTTTCCATGAATTTTTTGAAGACTCGTGCATACCTTCTGTCCCTACACACCCAAATTTCCTTCACTGTCGACATTTAAACACTGCAAAAACCCTAGTGGAATTTTTAAGCTTTTGTAAATACTAACAAAGAGACAGCTTAGGTTACCTGTAACACCACAGAACTGTGGGTATTGCTGGTAAAAATGCGTGTGGTTCCTGCCTTGGAAGACTGCAAATGGGATGAGAGGCCCATTTCACTGCTTCCAAGGGACAATTTCATGTGCTGGTCTTCCTCTTCCACAAGTGATCTGAAATGTTTTTAAAATCAGAAAGGCAAATTAAAACTTTTGTAATTCATAATAACAAAGTTATTTAGAGAAATAGTTATATATATATTTTTAAGTGCTTTCCAAGGGTAGAAAATATAAATAAGAAATCATCTTAAAACCTGGTTCAGGGCCAGCAGTGATTAAGGTGGCTGGATCCCACATGGCCAATTGTACAGTTCAAATCCTGGATCCAGCAGCTTGAAAATCACTCCAGACACATGTGCAAGTGTGCCAAAAATTCTAAGAGGGGAATGGAGGAAAATGGAATGCAGTGAGGCCATACCCCCAGAAGGTGATTTTTCTTTCTCTCTCTCTCTCCCTTCCTCTCTCTCTTCTTGACAAGCACACACGCCCGGTAGCAAACTGAAGAAAAATAATTTAAAAAGCACTACAGTCAGAAGGGGTTTTTTAGTAACTGCATCTGGTATTTTATTTTCAGGTAATAATGCTATCAGATTGTGTTAGTCATAGTTAAAATTAATTTGGAGGGGCCAGCCAATGGCCTGGTGGTTAAGGTGTTGGACTTCCACATGGCCAACCATGGTTCAAGTGTTGGACCTCGTAGCTTGCTTTCTCACTTTCTGTGTCTCTGCCTGTCTCTCTCTGGTGAACACATGTGTCCTTTAGCAAATTAAAGAATAATAATAAATAAAATTAAATAATTCTTTAGAAAATTAATTTGGAACACCTCATTTTAGAAAAATCAAAACAACAGCTACCACTTATTGAATAATCATTATATATCAGGTACTAGCCAAAAATCTTAAACATATGAGCTCATTTAATCCTTAACACAATCCAATACAATAGATATTATCTCCTTTTTGTTAAGGGTGAAGGATAAGGAGCTAAAGATGTATTAGAAATAACTTACCTATGACCAAAACAGTGTTAAAGTGGTTGGGCCAGGATTTGAATCTATATCTAGTCTGATTCTAACTTCAAGGTTCCCATTAATAAAAGTCAAAGATCAACTGTGATATATTAAAACACTGGTTCTCCTACTATTATCGATGGTTGTAATAAACCCCAACTGAATGAAATTTTATACATTGATTTATTTTACCAGTGGTATCTCTCAATGGTTTGGGATTATTTAGTTAAATGGCTATAATCTAGTGGCATCTCCATCTTTTCAAAGAAATCAGTAATGAAAGAAGCAAGCTATCTTCATATGTATTTAAAACAATAATTTTTTCAGGGGCCATAAGAAAATGCTATAGTCAGCAGTCAGCAGGTCACTTATATGCAATGGAGAATATGACAATATATTTGACATTTAAAAGGCTGTAGGTTACACTAAAAATTGGCTTCTGGGGCCAGCAGTTGGCATAGTGGTTACATAGACGAACTCCCACATGACCAACTACAATTCAAGTTCCAGATCCAGTGACATGAAACTCACAATGGCTATGTGTGCATGCATGCCCAAAATCCCAGGAGGGGAATAGAGGAGAAGGGATTGTGGCATGGCCAACCCCCACCACACACACATCCACCCCCCCACACACACATACACACACACTGGTGATTTCTCACTTTCTCTTTCACTGTCTCCATTTCTCTCTCCCTAAGGAGCACATGTGCCCTAAGGCAAAAATCTCTAAAAAGAAAAAAAAAATTGGCTGTCATTAAGTGTTTCAATATTCCTTAGAAAAGGTCTTGTGTTTCTTTAAGTACAGATGGTCTTTGGATCGCCTGCCTAAGAGCAGGGAGCCCAAAATTCAGAATTGATTTGTGCATTCTTAATATAGACTGCTAAAATGGATATCAGGGGAGAAAAAAGGAGGATGGACTTTCAAGTGCTAGAATTCTGAATATTTCCTATTTATCTGTAATTTTCTCAATTTTGAATTAAACACTTTCTTAACTGAGCATTATCATATAGAGTTCACCTTTTCCCCTATCATATCTATAACTTAAGTTGATCTATTTTAAAAAGAAAATGAGTTTTACGATTGTACCATACTTTTAATAAAAATCCCACTTTCTGAATTCTGACACTAACCAAATGGTTTTAAATCCTGCGATAATTAGCAAAATTTCTAGCCTTAAGGGTGACGGTAATTCTTCGTAAAGATATTAGAAACATAGTATAGCCCAAAATGAATGAATAATATATATCCATGTTTTATTCAACTCTCATGGATATTTAATAAAGAAGAGAATAATTTAAATAAGATTTTAACAGGCCTATAAGAAAATTAATATAGCTTTCTGCTAGAGTTTCAGAAATAGCTCTAAGAAATTAAATTAGAGATATGATGCATAGCATACACACATTTTTATACATTTTTTGTGGAAAGACATTTAAAATTAGAACCAACAGGAAAAGTAGGAAATAGATTGATGGACACTGGTATCCCTGACCAGAAAATTTCTAGTCATCCAGAATTATTTTAATAAGATATTCGATCAGACCGTTGTTTTCGTTTCTGTATTCCCCACACGGAGCCTGGCCCCAGAGGTTTGATGTATGTCCTTTGAATGAACATAGAATCTCATTTCTGTGGATCATTCTAAAGACATTTCTTTATCATGCAGTGATTCAATGGCCATCAATTATCATTTTTGTAAAACTGCAGATGTGAAAGAGACTGGAATAAAGCTGAAACCACATTGCCCTATGACACATTGTGGAAATTGCTTTTTTGAATAAACTACAGACAACAACTTGTTTACTTGTCATTTGTCTCTTGCTCTTAAAATTGAAAAGCAGATTGTGAAAGTGCAGCCCTTTCTTGCCAATATAATATGTCTGGCTTTCTAATTAAATACTTCAAAAGCTGAAGAAGGCTTCACTAAAATCACCTTCTTCATGACTTTTTATCAGTATCTTTTGACTTTTTAACATTCACAACACTCCCTATTATTTCTGCATCAGTAACAATACATGCCATGTCAACCTTCTTAACAGATTCAATATCCCTGACCAGAAAATTTCTAGTCATCCAGAATTATTTTAATAAGATATTCGATCAGACCGTTGTTTTCGTTTCTGTATTCCCCACACGGAGCCTGGCCCCAGAGGTTTGATGTATGTCCTTTGAATGAACATAGAATCTCATTTCTGTGGATCATTCTAAAGACATTTCTTTATCATGCAGTGATTCAATGGCCATCAATTATCATTTTTGTAAAACTGCAGATGTGAAAGAGACTGGAATAAAGCTGAAACCACATTGCCCTATGACACATTGTGGAAATTGCTTTTTTGAATAAACTACAGACAACAACTTGTTTACTTGTCATTTGTCTCTTGCTCTTAAAATTGAAAAGCAGATTGTGAAAGTGCAGCCCTTTCTTGCCAATATAATATGTCTGGCTTTCTAATTAACTACTTCAAAAGCTGAAGAAGGCTTCACTAAAATCACCTTCTTCATGACTTTTTATCAGTATCTTTTGACTTTTTAACATTCACAACACTCCCTATTATTTCTGCATCAGTAACAATACATGCCATGTCAACCTTCTTAACAGATTCAATATTCCCTCTATCTCCTTTTCATTAAGTTTATTGACTGAATTATTAAGAGCATTGTTCTTCAACATTGAAAAGCGGGGACACTGTTTGGAAAACCTCAGGTCACAATCATACCAGTTATGCTTAAAGGATTGATTATCAGAGTAATTTCAAGAACAACATTTTTTAGAAGTCTTAAGTTTTTTCAAGATATATAGTTAAAAGAAATATACACACCACTGATTCTCAACACGGGAGGGGGAATAAGAGTCATCTTGTTATCCCCCACCCCGACATGTGGCAACGTCTAGAGACATTTTTCATTGTTTCAACTGGGAGAAGGAGACAATTACTGTCATCCCTAGGGATACTGCTAAATATTCTCCAATCTCCATGTCAAAGATCTTCTCAGACAAAAATGTCAAGAGTGCCAAGATTGAAAAGAAACCTTGATATAGAGGAATTGCTTGGAAATTTTTTTTTCTCATGAGAAAGTCAATTTCCTGTTTTAAGTAGTTTCCCAGTCCTAGGATTGACTCTATGAGGTAATGTTGCCAGAAAAAAAAAAAAGTGGAATTATTAATTACCTCTAACTCTTCCAAGACTACCTAATAAAAAAATCTCTACTCTCCTCAGGCCCATCAATTTGAGAGTCAAGTGTTTATAGTAGATAAGCAGATAATGACTTTGGAGTTTATAAGACAATTATGAGGCAAAGCTTTTGTTTTATATTATCTCATGTAAGAAGAACAATTTAGTAATTTTACCTAAAACAACTGTTATTTGGGTCCACTTTTACTACTAAATTAGAATCTGGCAAATCCTGTCCAAATAGTCTCATTTCATCCACACTATAAATTATTCATGGGAAAGGCTGCGTTAACCAATTTTCCTTCTAAAAATTAAATCTCTCTTTTTTCTATAAAATTATAGCCTGCATATTGCTGCCGTGCCACCCCCAGACACATCTTAGTTTCCAAACAATGACCCACCACAGAGCACAAAAGCAATCTTTCACAAAGTCTGCATGAATCAGTCGACTGTGCTCGCTCAAAGAAAACAATTACTTTTCTGAAGAGCATTATATTAGAGATAGAGGCAATATCAGACCATTTGACTAAAAGCATTACAAACGTGGGCAAATTGAACATATACTATAAGCTGTGGCAGTGTTCTGCACTACTGTCTGAAACAAAGGGGCAAACGTCTATGCAACTGTTAAATGTTAACAAAGTTGTGCCAACATTGTAATCTTACCTCAAAACCTCCATATTTTAAAAATATCTCCAAGGAAAACATGAAAATGACACTAGCACCGAATTCACGAAGACTGAAGTACAAATGGTTCATGGATAGAGACATGTTCAACCTCATCAGGATTACAGAATATGCAAATTGACACAAAGAATCTATCTTTATATAAGACATTAAACCTGAAAGATTTTCAAATAACAGAGAAGAAAATGAACTCTCAAAATTGCTAGTGCAAACATATATTAAGTCCCTATTGTCTGCA